TACACACTTGCACTTTCTTCCCTCTATTAAATACTTGCACACTGCTGTAGTACTAGACTGGGAAACGCTGCTTCAGACAATGACTTCCTCATTTCCCTGATGGTTCTGCAAAAACACTGTGTAGAAAAGATATTGGCAAGAAATTGCCTAATACTGAATCAGGTCTTTGGGCCACCTAGAATCCAGCCATTCTTGACCTTTTTTGGGGTCATGGCTATAACCATAATATGAAAGAAATATAGGTTTTACCAGAATTCTATAAGTCACATAATGAACCTCACAAGGTGGTTGTGCAAAGAATTGTTTCCAGTCAAATGTGCCAGGGCTCCCTGGGGGTCATATGGCTTCTGTTGAGAATGGCTTAACTAGATCAGCTCGGGCCATATGGCTTCTGTTGAGAATGGCTGAACTAGATCAGCTTTGTCTGTATAGGAATGAGCAAAATATGGCCTTTGGCCCCACCAGCCTCCACGTGCCAAAACGAAACAAGAGCTGGAAAAGGGGGGGGAACTGCCAGCAAAAAGTCAATTCTCACTTCTGGAAGCCTTGCAGAGCACTGGAATGAGCAAAATATGGCCTTTGGCCCCACCAGCCTCCACGTGCCAAAACGAAACAAGAGCTGGAAAAGGGGGGGGAACTGCCAGCAAAAAGTCAATTCTCACTTCTGGAAGCCTTGCACAGCACTGATTAAAATAGGTCACAGGGGTTCTTCACAGTGTTTAACATTTTTAAAAATACCTATTAAATACTCTAGTGGTCGAAGGCAGAATAGCAGCTTCCCATTAGTTTCTATGGACGGAAAAGAGCAGATACGGATCAAATGGTTCTCAATGCATTCCTATGGGAAATGCAGATTTGACCTGCGAACATTTTTACTTGAGAACCGCCTTCCAATACGGATTATGTTCTCAAGTCAAGACCCCACTATAGGTCACAGGGGTTCTTCACAGCGTTTAACATTTTAAAAAATACCTATTAAATGGACTTTCCGCCACTTCCAATTTTGCCCCCACCTTCCCTTGTGGTCCATGCACAAGAGGTAGAAACGAAGTTCTTGGACCCACCTAGTTCCCCACCTCTGTGCTATACAAATGGTCATAAGGAGCTGCCTTCGTACACTGTGTCGGACTGTTCATCCATTTAGCGCAGTACTGTCAACTCTTGAACAGCAGCGCTCTATACTTTCTGGCAGGACTCTATCCTAGACCTGACAGGAGATCCCCAATATTCCTCAGTGATCTCCCACTCCAGTACTAACTAGTTCCACAAATGCTGTTGGACTACAAAGCCCAGAATCCCTGGCCACTGATCCATGTTGGGATCAGCGGTCTACAAAATTATCTCACTATGGTTTCAGACTGAGGACTTTCTTGGCTCTTCTTAGCAATGCCAATAACCAAAACAGGACCTGTTGCATACAAAGCACCTGCTTCACCACTAAGCTGTGACTGTATCCGGCTCCTCATATGTAAATCAGCACTGTTCTATAAAAGTCCTCAAGCACACTCCAATAATGGGGAAAGATCTTATGCTTCTTTCTACCAGATGAGTTAAAAACAAAGCACTATATACTTTCAACTCGTAATGGAAAATACACATGAAGAGCTTTGAAATCTAGCTGCTTATGAATCACTAGCTCCTGGAAGCCGAGTGCATTAGCTCCTGCACTGAGACAGCAACTGCTGCGATTACCATACACCTAACTAATTTCTCCTTCTGCAACTACACCAGAAAAGTCGTCATGGTCGTGCAATTACTGATTATTAATGAGAAGAGAAGAAACCTTTTTCCAGTAGAGTAGCTTTTAAAAAATCATATAAGGATAATGAAGTACTTTGAAAAAAAGTAATATTGTAGAAGCTTCAAAAGACTTTTCATTCTGTGCTGCCCCCTTCTCCAGTATTAATTTTCAAAAGTCTTATTAAAACATTCTGGGGTTTGTACAGTACAGCTAATAGCCTTAATTTAAATCAGATCAGCACAACATACATAATTTACTTAAGGTGGACACAGTCATGTGAGTTTTTCATTGAACCTACAGCACTCTTATTTTTACACCTACCTAAGAAAGAATCTGTTCTGCACAGTGGTAATTTAGCAGAGAACCCTTGACACAAGGGCTAACAGATTTGTTTCATAAAAACTCTACCTCCAACACTTTAAAAACAAAACATCAGGGTTAATTAAAAGAAGTATGTTATTCTGTATTTTTAGATCCCAACCCCCAGAATTCTCCAAGCCGAATATTGAAAGATGCCACCCAAAAAATTAACTCTGCAGACCAGCATCCCCATAATTTTCTTCCATCACTTCAGCCTGCTTCTACTTTTAAAAACAAGGAAGCAGCCAAAGCGTCATCTGGCAATTGTAGGTCTTGCTGGAAGTCATACTTCTTTGCAAAGTACACTCTATAGAGCCTAATGGGCAACGGGACTATGACTACAGCTTCCATGATTCAAATTTGACACCAGCACCTTTTGTGCATACCCCCACTCATCAGTCACATGACTGGAGAGATAGCTGACTGGTCAAGAGAGGATGGGCCCCATTCCTTAGACATGGACGTCGTGGTCTTGCTGCACACCAGTCTCTACAGGAGGGCACATCTGAAAGACCTACAGCTCCCAGGAAATTCTACAATTCCTAAGTAGCACAGCAGCAGCTTTCTTGTGTTTAGAAGAAGATAGAGGATGAAGCAGGCAACAATTGAGGCAAATAACAGGAAAGGGGGTCTTATGTTTCTGGGCTGTACCTCCTAGAATTCTGAGTAATTCCTGGAGAATTCTGGAGACGACAGTCCAAAACAACTTGGAAATTAGCACTTGACTATAATACAGTTCGTCAACCAGTGGCTGTGGCCCATGCTTGGAAATGTTATTTTCCAGGTTACAGTTCCCAGAAGCAGTAATTATTGTGATTTGGGGGATCTTGGAGCTGCATTTCAAAGAAATTATGTCTTCCATGCCCTGATCTAGGCTCTGGATTGAACCAGCAGTGCCATTATCAAAGGTCTACAATCCAACTCACCACCTCTGCCATAGTCTTCCAGTGAAGATAAGTTGAGCACTAACCTTGATTTCCATGTCAGAGCTGGAGCTAAGCTGACCTTTAGGAAAAACATCAGCTACCCACTGTCAAAAAGCAGGCAAGCTTTCCAAGATCACTGGTCTTGAGGGGCTGGTTTTGGTGCACTTGATAAAGGCATAACTCCACTATGAATGCTGGACAAGACTAGAGATGGGCACAAACTGCTGTTCTGGCAATCTGTGTATGGGCTGAACAGGTGTTTGGTGCTTCAGAGCCCTGTCTCCTCCAGCAGGCACCCACTGAGGCAGCACCTGGAGGAGGCGGTGCATATATCTAGACAAGACTGTGGATTAGAAGCAGATTAGACCTCCTGAGAGCTTCTCCAAGTCCACCTGGGCAGCCTTATACTAATTCAAAGATAAAGTCTTGCCCTGCTTACTCTGCCGTTCCAACTTCAGGCATGTAAGGAAGGCCACGGCTATGGGGAGAAACGGCCTTGGCAGCCAGAAATACTGCTTTTGCAAAAAAAAAAATGTGTGGGTCCACCTTCACCACCACCCCTTCCAGTAGGGTGCTTGCATCGACCTTCTGCCTATGCTGCAGCATCAACCAAGCGTACCAGATGCAGCTGGCTGGGGCCCACAGGCCCACAAAGACCTGTATTAAACAAAACGTGTAAGTCTTCAGAGCGCCACAAGATTCCTGGTTGTCCCTTCAAGGCAGAGAAACGGAAAGACGAGGAGTGCCAGATGCAGAGGAGACCCGGGTTCTTTTCCCCCCTTTTTAACCTATGAGTGAAAAGGGGGGGAAAGGAGGCTCATGGCGACGAGGACCCCCTACCCAGAGTCCCCTCTTTTGGGAAACCACAGTGAAGCTTCCACACAAACACACGTGTCCCCCTGTGGGGCAGGAAGTTCCCTAAAACGCGCAGGCCAGGCTTCCGCCCGGGAAGGTCCCTCCGCGCCGCTCTTCTCCCTCCTGGTTCACCTTACAAGGAAGATGGGGCGCCCAAACCCTGGGCGGGCGGGCGGCCTCCATGCTTCCCGAGAAAGGGCGCGGGCGGGCGGGAGCAGGGAGAGGAGCCCGCGCGTTTACTGAAGAAGCGGCCGAGCGGGTGGCTAAAACGCGCAGGCCAGGCTTCCGCCCGGGAAGGTCCCTCCGCGCCGCTCTTCTCCCTCCTGGTTCACCTTACAAGGAAGATGGGGCGCCCAAACCCTGGGCGGGCGGGCGGCCTCCATGCTTCCCGAGAAAGGGCGCGGGCGGGCGGGAGCAGGGAGAGGAGCCCGCGCGTTTACTGAAGAAGCGGCCGAGCGGGTGGGACGTCGGTTCTCTTCGTGGAAATAAAAAACCCTGCAGCCGCCCGGAGAACCGGGCTCGGTTCTCCGGACGCAGGTTAGGGCGCAACGGCGGGTAAAGTCTTGTCGAGTGAATTCGCCCAGGCAGACGGGTTTTTTAAAAAGGAACCCCCGCCGCGTCCCGCCGGGAGAGCGTGCGAAGGCCAACGCCGGCC